TTCATTTGATTTTTCTGCAAATTTCTGTTTTCATTGGTAGACAACCCAAATGGGTATTAAGGTAGTGGTTTTTTCATCATCCCAGTCCTCTGTTTTCTTTTCAATTTATCATAGTTAATATTAATTTTGTTAATGTCGATTGTTTTCTAGGGTTTAACTAAGCTTTTGTCGGACAATGCTCCAAAGTCCATGAAAGAGAACAAATTCGAGAGTTACTTCGGTCGCAAGATCGCTGTTGACGCCAGCATGAGCATTTACCAGTTCCTTGTCAGTACTTCCCTTCACAACACTTACCTAGTTTCAACAGCGATAATGATGCATTTTAGTTACGTTATTAACTTAATATTACGTGTGTCATGTCTTGGATTTTGGTGCAGATTGTCGTTGGAAGAAGCGGAACCGAAATGCTCACTAATGAAGCTGGTGAAGTTACCAGGTATATGCAGTAATAACTTCTTATGTTTTCAATCAGACAAGGTTAATTGTGATTCGGGGTTCTGGATTCAGTTTCTTCCTTTCGATGATAAATGTGGTTCGCTTTGTGTGATGATGGTGTTGGTTATGTGTCTTGTAGTCATTTGCAAGGGATGTTTTCGCGGACAATCAGACTTCTAGAAGCTGGGATGAAGCCAGTGTACATATCTATGCATTTTAACTTTCTCAAGCTTTTCTTTTCTTGTAGCCCTCCGAGGATGAGTTTTTTTTTGTATAGACTGTGTGTGCTGAATTTTTCTAGTGCTGGTGTGCAGATATGTTTTTGATGGAAAGCCACCAGATTTGAAGAAACAAGAGCTGGCAAAACGGTATCTTTAGTGGATATTCTGTTTTTTTAGAGAGTTATGATTTTTGTTATGAGGTGGGGGTTTTATATACTACATAATTGTAACTTATAGAAAGTTCCTCAATAATGCTTTTCACACTGAAATTCTGTTAGTTATTCGAAGAGGGCAGATGCTACTGAGGATTTATCAGAAGCCTTAGAGGTATATGCGCAGTTTGTTTTTGTCTTTTCTCTTGGGATCCTTTTGTGACAGTAATTTTTCTTCTCTTAAATCAATATATTTCTCATCTGTGGACTGGTTCTTCTTCTCATTTAGAGTGCCAATAAAGAAGACATTGAGAAATTCAGTAAACGGACGGTGAAGGTGGGCTTTTTGTTTCTTATTGGCTTTTATTTGAAAAGTTTTGCACGTTGTAGATAGATAAAGAACATGTATGTTGGTACATGGTATTGATGCTATCTCCGTATTCTTGTAGGTGACAAAGCAGCATAATGATGACTGCAAAAGACTTTTAAGACTTATGGGCGTTCCCGTTGTTGAGGTGACATTGCATTACTAAAGTATTCATTGTTCTGTGCGTTTTTCCCATCTGATCAATTTTTTGGGTTCTACAGGCACCCTCAGAAGCAGAGGCTCAATGTGCTGCACTTTGCAAAGCTGGAAAGGCAAGCTCATACCTGTTGCGTATCACGTGATTTTTGAACTGGTTTCTTGAAATCTAAAGTGATAATGATATTACTAATGCTTTTAAAACAATAAAGAGACTTTCTGGAAACAAAAAGATTGAATACTGATTTAAATTTTTACCACTTTTTCTTATAAAATCCATTTAAATTTCAGTTATGTTCTTGCTTTCATACCTTTTTCTTTGGATAACCATGCCTTCAGATAATTTTATCAACTCATTCCTTCAAACGAATTGGTAGCATTTCCTTTAATATAAACTTTCTATAGAATTTATGCTGAATGATTTATGTATTGTAGGTTTATGCTGTGGCTTCTGAAGACATGGATTCCTTAACATTTGGTGCTCCTAAATTTCTTCGCCACTTAATGGATCCAAGCTCAAAAAAAATTCCAGTGATGGAATTTGAAATTGCAAAGGTCTTTTTAGCTTTCAAGATACTTTATTTTTTTACTTTCTGACATGCTCACGTTGGCATTTCTTTGGTTTCAGATTTTAGAGGGGCTAAATCTGACCATGGACCAATTTATTGACGTATGCATTCTTTCTGGCTGTGATTATTGTGACAGTATTCGAGGTATATTTCAACCCATATTTATTTGTATGATGCCTGGTCTAAGCTTGGTTTTATGATGTTTGAATCAGCTCTACATGCAATGTATATGATATAATTGATAAATGATATGTGCCACAGGAATTGGGGGACAGACAGCTTTGAAACTCATACGTGAACATGGCTCGATTGAAAATATGCTGGAAAAAATAAACAAAGAGAGGTTTTTTTTCTTTCTATTGAAAATTAACATCTTTTGCTTATGCAATTTAGTTAGTGTTAGTCGCATGACATAACCTTGTGGAATAAGGTTTACTTGTTTCTCTGTTGTGACAACCAATCTAAAATACTCTTTTTGAATGCTAGGTTCATGATATTTAATTATGATATTGCTTTTTCATCCTTGGAAGTACTTATACTGAGTGCATTGGTTCAGGTACCAAATACCAGATAATTGGCCATATCAGGAGGCCCGACAGCTTTTTAAAGAACCGATGGTCTTAACTGATGAAAAGGAACTTGATATTAAGTGGACTGCTCCAGATGAAGAAGTAAGATATTCAGTTTTAGAACTTCAATATCATTTCAAGTGTACATGGACTCTCATACGCAAATACATTATATTGATTTGTCTATCTATCTATATATTGTGTTCTTTGGCAATATAATTAAGTTGTATTGTGTTGCCTTACAGGGGTTAATAACATTTCTGGTAAATGAGAATGGCTTCAATAGTGATAGAGTGACTAAGGTATGTAGAGCTCTATATAGTATTATTTTGGATTGCTTTAGTACGATTTCAATTGCCTCTTCAGGAAAATTCAAATGATTTATATATGAATGTAGGCAATAGAAAAGATTAAAGCAGCAAAGAACAAATCATCACAAGGCCGGTAGGTTATTCTTAAGTCTTTGGACATTAATGTTAAACCTTTCTCGTTTCTTCTTGTACCTAACTCCTTATTTTTCTTTGGAAATAACAGATTGGAATCATTTTTTAAACCCACAGCAAATCCATCAGTACCGATTAAACGCAAGGTATGTATTCATTATGTCTATCATCTACCAAGATGTGGCCATCCGTAATTATTTTAATTTTGCAGAAAACTTGCAAGTTCTTCACCATAACTTTTACGATGAGAATTTTGGTTGGCTGTGATTCAGTTAATCTGTTTTTTCTCCCTAACTTTTCTGGCTGAAACTAAATGATGAACTATTGTTTCTTTGCATTATATTCATCATCTTAAGGTTTAATATGGATGATGAAAAGCTCTCCCATTCCATGAAAATGTATCATAAACATAATTTGTGTGAAGAATAGAGTATTAATTTTTGGAAGTTTAAAGTACAGATACAGGCCATGTTCATATGTCAATTCTGTCACTTTGTTTTCTTGTGATTGAATATCTGCTAAAAAATGTGATGAGAAACTCTTGTGTGTGTGGAAGCAAAATGGTTATCATATCATCTTCACCCTAAAGTGGATTTGGAGCTCTTCAGCCCCCTTGTTCACATATGTTTTTCACTGGTAATAAGTCCAAATAGAAAAAAAAACAAAAGCAGGAATTTTTCCCCATATTTACTAGAAATCTTAAAATCGACATGCTAGATAATTTTGGCTACAATTAATGACAGGAAATCAAATGCATGCTTAGATCTTTCAAACCAGCAATTGAGCGTAAGATGTTCTCTCTGCAAACTTGTAACTGGTCAAGGCCCATGGGTTTTGGCAACTTTAGCTTGCCAATGTATAATCTGGGTTCCGAGCTCCATACCTTTGTCTAGAGGTGTCTGATTTGGTGCCTGAAGCTGAATATCCCTGGTGAACCTCCAAAGTCATTCTGTGCTTATGCATATCTATCTTTCAGTCCAACATATAAGTGTTAACATGATTACAGTCAGAATGATAAATTATAGCTTTTTACAATCTGTTCTGATATTATAGTGATTCTTCCACAAATTTTGCTTAAGTAGTTTTGAAAACTATGTCAAGCCTTCTTACGATGCTCGAGCATATTTTATTACCAGTATGTATATCTCTTACCTTTGATTTATTGTTTGTGGCTTCACTTTTAATTCCTTTAGCATGTGGGCTTGTGGATCTTGTCAATTACTATTATAAACTTGTTTTGGAAGAAAAGCAATAGGGACTGCATAGCTTGTTTTACCTTATTTGAATGTCCGTTATTCTGTGTCATTGTTTAGGAGATGTTTAATCTTTTTCTTTTTTGCTGTTTTTTACTATTTCTCTCTTTTATGTTTTATCAATTTATTGATTATAAAAGGCCGTCCATTGTATATATTATTAGCTTCTGCCCTAATTGCTATATTTTAATAAAGCCCGACACGAACATTAAAGTTGGATTGGCACAGTAAAGATCAATAGACATTCTACTTGTGGTTGAGTTGGTTATGTGAAGTGCTGATTAACATTTTAGGTTGGCTACTTGGCAAAACCTGAGTAATGGGTTGGTCCCCTTCCTTTTACACCCTTGATCTGCTTTAGAAGCACCATCTCTAAAAATATATGCCTATAGAAACTGAACAAAACAGAATATTTCTTCCCTGTTAAATAAAGCATTCAATGAAAAATACTGGGAGCAGTCAAACCACCACCCTCGAACAAATTACTGTTTTGCTTTGAAAGGTCCATGCTTTGACAACTTTTTTTGGACAGGAAACACCATCGAATAATGCTAAAGAAACTAACAAAAAGGCCAAGGGTGCTGGTGGTAGGAAGAAGAAATAATTTGCTGTGTCTTGATGAGGTTAGAGTTCGGAATGTCATTCAATTTTTTTCATCGCCTATTTTACTTCCCCTTTTGCATGCTTTGTTACCGTGCCTCTATTTTTCCTGGTATGTTGCAGTTAGTCTGAAGGAGGATCAAATGCGGTACTTCATTTTACAGAGATAGTCTCAATCCTCCATTAATGGATGTAATTTAACCAGTTTCCTTTCCTGCTGCATTCCATGACTATTTCACTTAATTTTGTCAATTCTGGATATTTGGACGCACCCAGTTGTATTTACTAGTTACTATAAATTAAGGTTTTGTTAGAAGCTTCTACACTGGACAAACATCTAATTATGTTTATTTTATGAGATGGTATTTAACTGTATCTACCTTCAATATGTACAAGACTTCATCCAACTTTGGCGCAACTTTTTCAGACATATCTAATGCAATACTGTCAAAATATGGTTCAAACTTAAACATCACTTGGGGCTGGGTATCCAAACGATGAAGTAGGTAAAAAAAAGTCGTGGATGAATAATGATGCCACTGTAGCAAAACAATAATTGAGAAAGATGCACTGGGCTTGATCCCAAAATAAGTTGTCTTGCTATAGATACTTTATTTTTATTGCTGACAAATTGGTTTAGATTGCGATTGGCAATTAGTGCAATTTTTAGTAACTGATAAGTCGTTACTTTTCCTATACTGTAGACAACAAATGGAAATATTCTCCAAAAATTATTTATCGAGTTCTACATTTTGCATTTTCTGTTACTAAAAAGAGATTAATAGGAATGCCAAGTCATTGAGCAACAATTCCCAATAATCGAGTGTGCCCCTGCGCTCTGTCAACTCTTTTGTTATTATGATTTTTCTTATCTATTTTTTCTCCGATGAGACATCACTGCATTTTGAATGTGAAACTGCAACTAATTTCTAATGAGCTAATGTCCGCGAACGAGTTACTAGGTTGGTATTAATGACAACTAGATGACTAGTTATTTTCCTTTGCAATTAGTATACGAGGTTACTGTCTTGTCATTGCTCTCATTTAATAAACGCATAACGAAAAATGCTCTGTTCATCACCACCACTTACAATTTTAACATGTTATGCAACTTCATGTGCTGAGACGTGTGCATTTTGGATAAGCTTTTGGTAAGTAATAAAACGAATGGATTGCCAATTTATTAAAAGTCAAGTTATATGTATATTGTCTGTGTATTAAATTTGAAGGAATGGCAACATCATCCTGAGAACGAAATATGAACTTATGATGAACAATAAGACAAGAAGCAGTTTCTAACATAGAGTTTAATGTCACGCTCTCAATTAAGAACGTATCTTTACATTTGTACCACTTATTAAAAATAACTTTACAAAAAAACTATTTTAACATTGCGTGTCATTTTGTGATTAATCTATATTGATATTTATAATTATTATTATTGATTGTATAATAATTCTATATATAATTATTATTATTGATTGTATAATAATTCTAAACTAATCATACGTAAATAATATTAAAATATTGTCACAAAAATATTCTAAAAGAATTATTATCCAACTTAAAAGATTGAAGACGAAAAGCAGGGTCTGAGTATCTGGCGTGTGGGGCCTTTGTATTTGTTTGCCTTTGGGTTTTGGGTGATCCAATTGGATAAGTTTTCTTTAAGTTTAAGAAAGAACAGGATGTCCCAAAATATGAAGAAATAAATACCCATTATAAACCAAAGCTTGGATATCTGTGATGCTATAAATATTAGTGTTCATCATCCCAACACTTTCCAACTACCAACTACTTTGCCTTCTTCTTCTTTTTCCATTTGCATTTTCTTAACTTATTCCCTTCAAAATTATATTATGGCTAACCACACTATGAAGCTGCTCAACTTGCTTCTTCTCTTAGCCACCACCGTCTCATCAGATCCTGACCTTCTTCAAGACCTCTGTGTCGCTGACCTCTCCTCAGGTTCTCCTCTTTTTACACCATTCTATTCATCTTTTACATTTTATATTTATTTTCGAACACAATCCCAAAAATTAAAGCTTTTTATCTGAAAATTTGAGTTTCCCCTCAATTCTACTTGCAATTCAGTTTTACTGACAAAAAAACTCGGTTTGTAAATAAATTTCCAATTTTTTTAAACATGCAATCAAAAAAATGTCTGGTCCTCCTTTTTTCTGTTACCAGCAGTTTTTTCCTCTTTGAATGATTAAATTTGATCCTTTCTGTTCACTCTTGAATTCTTTTTTTCTTTGCTTACTTTGATTTTCTTTAAACCACGCCTAACTCAACATCAGTGTCCAAGACATTCCACTTCTACCTACTACTTTAATTTTGCTTTCTCCTGACTCCAGTGTTTAATCATTTTAACTCAAATATATATAGTATTCCCACTCACATCATTAACTTTTATTTGTCTCTTTCCTCTATTTATCAACACATCACACGTCAATACTTCCTTTGTTTTTATTCTTTCTAAAAACAACCGTAAATTGCATCATTTCAAGCATAACTCACAACTGGTGTATCAAAATGTTGTTAAAATTTATGTTAATGTATGATTGTCCTAGTAATTAAAGAGTGGTTGTTACTGTGACTAAAAAAACAGGTGTGAAAGTGAATGGATTCAGCTGCAAAGAAGCATCAAAGATAAATGCCTCAGATTTCTTCTCGAACATACTAGGAAAAGCAGGATCGACCAACAACACCTTTGGGTCAATAGTGACTGGAGCGAATGTTGAGAAAGTCCCAGGACTGAACACACTTGGTGTGTCTCTGTCAAGAATTGACTATGCCCCAGATGGCATAAACCCTCCTCACACTCACCCTCGTGCCACTGAGATTGTCTTTGTGCTTGAAGGCCAACTAGATGTAGGCTTCATAACCACTTCTAATCTCCTCATATCAAAGACCATTAGCAAGGGTGACATATTTGTCTTTCCAAAAGGCTTAGTTCACTTCCAACGGAACAATGCCAACGTCCCTGCTGCTGTCATTTCAGCCTTCAACAGCCAACTTCCAGGGACACAGTCAATTGCTACAACCTTGTTTTCTGCCACACCTTCACTTCCCGACCATGTCTTGACCAAGACCTTCCAGGTTGGTACCAACGTCGTTGAGAAAATCAAGTCCAGGCTTGCACCTAAGAAGTAAAAACTGCTACATTGGTTCGGCTATCTTGTGTCTTCTCAACAATAAATACTCCTTATTCATTCTTTCTGAAAAATTCAAAACCATTATCATATAATGTGAAGATAAATTAAAACTGCTTGTTCTATAAAGATTGATCCAGATAGCTAATTGTTTCTCTTTCTCCATTTTCTTTATCATCTCTTCTTTTAATCTTTTGTCATTCACCTTATTTTTCGTGGTTGGAACAACTCATAAATTTGTTTAATAGTTTAAATTTGAAAGATCTTGCATTTCCGGTCATTAGTGTATAACATAATCTTCGATCTAAAACCTCAAAGTCATAGGTCTATGACTTTTTCCGTGTAAATTGTTCTTGTTTATGACGTTCCTTTGCTTTAAGCTTTTCTTTTTCCTTTTACTTTACCTTTACTTATCCATCAGTTAATACGTAACCATATAATAGGTAAATGGATCCCACAAGAACTGGCTGAGTCTAATAACACCACAGATCATGTTATCCAATGGCACAAACCAAATCTTAAATTAGGTTTTCAATTTCTACAGAGACTATTTTAATATGCAGAATTTCAAAAATCTTTTATCATTTGTAAAAAGATTTATTTTAGTATAGATAATGGTAAAGATTAAAAAAACTTACTTTACAATGTTAGAGTGATGGAATTTTCAAGATTTCAGAAAATAAAATATCTAATATTTTAATCTGTATAATCTTGCTGAGTGAACCTCCATCCATGAGAGTAAACCAAAAGTAGACTGTTAATCAAGTTAATATATTTTGTTGCCAATTTTTCGGTTTAAATCATTGCCATTTATGTGGATATATTTAATTCGATTATAGTCCTCCAGAAAGTATCTTATGATTTACTTTAGTAGTCGGAAATTTAGTTGTTTTGACAAATCCTTATTACTACTTAGAATAATGGAAATAGGCATGCTATGATTTTAATCATAAAAGTCAATAAAAAATTAACAAACCTAAATATAAATTTAGCTATATTTATAAATTACCAAAAATGAAAAAAATACTTTATCAGGAAATTTTTGGTTGAAAGCTCCTTGATTATAACACAACCATCTTTCATTATTGTGCCTCTTATAACAATAAAGTGGTGTTGGAGTAAAATTCACGGCATTTATACTANCCTTTACACCCTTGATCTGCTTTAGAAGCACCATCTCTAAAAATATATGCCTATAGAAACTGAACAAAACAGAATATTTCTTCCCTGTTAAATAAAGCATTCAATGAAAAATACTGGGAGCAGTCAAACCACCACCCTCGAACAAATTACTGTTTTGCTTTGAAAGGTCCATGCTTTGACAACTTTTTTTGGACAGGAAACACCATCGAATAATGCTAAAGAAACTAACAAAAAGGCCAAGGGTGCTGGTGGTAGGAAGAAGAAATAATTTGCTGTGTCTTGATGAGGTTAGAGTTCGGAATGTCATTCAATTTTTTTCATCGCCTATTTTACTTCCCCTTTTGCATGCTTTGTTACCGTGCCTCTATTTTTCCTGGTATGTTGCAGTTAGTCTGAAGGAGGATCAAATGCGGTACTTCATTTTACAGAGATAGTCTCAATCCTCCATTAATGGATGTAATTTAACCAGTTTCCTTTCCTGCTGCATTCCATGACTATTTCACTTAATTTTGTCAATTTTGGATATTTGGACGCACCCAGTTGTATTTACTAGTTACTATAAATTAAGGTTTTGTTAGAAGCTTCTACACTGGACAAACATCTAATTATGTTTATTTTATGAGATGGTATTTAACTGTATCTACCTTCAATATGTACAAGACTTCATCCAACTTTGGCGCAACTTTTTCAGACATATCTAATGCAATACTGTCAAAATATGGTTCAAACTTAAACATCACTTGGGGCTGGGTATCCAAACGATGAAGTAGGTAAAAAAAAGTCGTGGATGAATAATGATGCCACTGTAGCAAAACAATAATTGAGAAAGATGCACTGGGCTTGATCCCAAAATAAGTTGTCTTGCTATAGATACTTTATTTTTATTGCTGACAAATTGGTTTAGATTGCGATTGGCAATTAGTGCAATTTTTAGTAACTGATAAGTCGTTACTTTTCCTATACTGTAGACAACAAATGGAAATATTCTCCAAAAATTAT